AAAAAAAACAGTCATTCAAAGCCCCTACCCAGCAGGAAATCTATTATAACCCTTCCTTTCCAAGGATTTGTGGGGAGTTTTATCCCAACATATCTGGAGGGCACCCGCCGAGCAACACAGGTTTACGTTGATGGGTAGAAATTTTCCTGGACTTCCAGTGGGAGCCTTTCTCTGGAATGGGTGGGGATTTGCACCTGTGGTTTTCTGGGTGTAGGATGCATCCTCTACCCCAGAGCTACACACCTTGACCTGCAAGAAAGAATTTGCTTGTAACTAAATCCTGAGCACAGTGCAGTGATCAGAGTGTTGGGCTAGGACTCAGGAGATCTGGGTTCAAATCCCCACGGGGCTATGAAGTTCATGGGGCAAACCTTTAATCTACCCCCACCTCAAAGGGCTGGTGTGGGGATAACATGGGTTGGAGGAAAATCACATGAAATTGGGATAAAGGCCAATATGAATAATAAATATGAATCATAAGAAACCAGACCATTGGTTTACTGTTTTGTACAGTCGTGCCCCAATTTACGATTGCCTCGCTTAACGAGGAAATCGCTTTACGATGAGGTTTTTGCGATTGCTTGATGTTTTAAATGGGTTTTCTTTCGCTTTGCGATGATTGGTTCCCTGCTTCGGGAACCGATTCTTTGCAAAACTATGTTTTTTGAACAGATGATTGGCGGCTTCAAAATGGCCGCCAGCTTTCAAAATGCCCCCCCCCCCCCCGGCTTTTCTGGGAGAGGTCTGTTTTTTTTACGGCACAGGCACCGAAAATGGCTGCCGTATGGAGGATCTTTGCAAAACAAGCAGGCATTCAGCCCATTGGAACACATTGAAGGGTTTTCAATGCGTTTCAATGGGCTTTTTTGTTTCATTTGACGACGTTTTCGCTCTACAGCGATTTCGCTGGAACGAATTAACATCGTCAAGCGAGGCACCACTGTATATCGACAATCACTCCAGAGCATTTTCAAGCAGACGTTCTATCTCCCAATCGCACTGGTCTTCCAGTAACAAATGTGTCCGTGTTGGGTTTCTCCCTTTGTCTAATGTAGAAACTAGACACTGGTTTTCTGTTCTAAACAGGACTTGCAGTGCTCCACACTATGTAAATGCGCCAGCAGCAGGCAAGAATCTGAAGTGCTGAAGAAACTCTCTGACTGATTAGGTTTATTTATTTATATGTTGGAATAGTTTATATTCTGCCTCCTGTCACAGAATAAATTCTGTTATATTCTGCCACAACAATAAGCAACAAAACAGCATGAAGTGGTTTAAAACAAGGCAACACAATCTGAAGTGGCTTAAAGTAATATTGTGTTTATACAACACGGCCAAGCCAGGCTAGCAATGACCACTAGGCCCCCAAAAGCCTTTTGGCTGGAGATCAAAATGAGGCTTCCAAGGAGACAACACTCAGAACTTGTGTCTCTTGGCTGGCAGAAAGGTGGCCTATTGATGATACTAAACAAACACTCCGATTCAGTGTTGGGAGAGTGAGAACAGACAAAAGAAAATATTCCTTTGCCCAGCATGTTGTTAATCTGTGGAACTCCTTGGCAGAGGATGTGGTGATGGCATCTGTCCTGGATGCCTTTAAAAGGAGATTGGACAGATTTCTGGAGGAAAAGTCCATCACAGGTTATAAACCATGGTGGGGATATACAACCTCCAGGCTTAAAAGGAAGGTGCTTCAACATGCCAGATGCAGGGGAGGGAGGTCAGGAGACAAGTACAGCATCTAGTTGTCTCGTGTGCTCCCAGAGCCACATGGTGGGGCCACTTTGAGATGCAGGGAGCTGGACTAGAGGGGCCCATGGCCTGATCCAGCACAGGGCTCTTCTTAGGTTCTTATGTAATCGTCCCAGCCCAGAAAGGTCTCACTCAGCCAAACCTACTAAAGGCAGCATGCAAGATTTTAAAACTCCAACAGGATACGAGATCTGGTTAGAAAGTTCACTGTGACGTTTGCCCCTCGTGGCCCCTGCCTGACTCTCCAAACACAGAGCACACAAAGGCAAACCGATACTCCTTTTCACCCCGCTGCCACCAGATGATCACTAAATCAACATTACTTATGGAAGGATGAAGATGCAGGTCCAGACTTCACTGTCTTCTAAATAAAACTTGTTTATTGCTTACAGATGTTTGATTATTAATCATAGGTAACTTCTACAGGTTTATCTATCATCAGTCTCCACCTTCTATTTATTATAACAGCAGTTATTCACTCTAATCACACGTCACATCTCCCAAATGCCACGCTCTATCTCCCTCCTCGCTCTTCTCCCTCTCGACTCTGACTGACTCACTCTCTGACTCTCACTCTTTTTTAATATATCTCTCGGCTCCGCCTCTCAGCAATATTAGCCTGCAACGTGAATAATGCATGACTATTTAACATAATAGGGAGAATGCTATAGTTCCCCTGTAAAAAAAAGGGCAGGAGAAAAACCCAGTCACTTATATCTTATGCATTCACCAACAAATTTAGCTTGGGCTTGTTTGTTGTTTGTTTATATAGTCACTGATTTACTAAATGTTATTGCTCTTATATGCTATGAAATTGCCTCCAAATTATGGAGGCCCTAGGAATGAATCACTTCGGAAAGATCCTGTCACTAACAGTTGTGCTCAGGTCTTGCAAACTCAAGGTGATGACCTCCTTTATTCAGTCAATCCATCTCAGGGTCACTCCACTTCTTGTTCTACTGCCTTTCATTTTTCCTAGCATTATCATTTTTTTCCCCAGTGACTCCTCTATTTTCATGATACCTCCAAAGTAGAATGGCCTCAGTTTAGAAATTTTAGCTTCTAGATCTCCTGAGATGCTTCTGGATGAGGATCTTATTTGTACAACTGCCCTGACTCATTCACAATATGTCACTGGGGGATGGGAGTCATCAATTGCCCTGACTCATTCACAATATGTCACTGGGGAGTCATCGATTGATTTGTTCGTTCGTTCATTTGTTTGTTCGTTCATTCGCTTGTTTGTTTGTTTCTGAGATTTTTACCCTGTCCCCCTAGAGAGTGTCTAGTCGGGGCGGCTTACATGGATAAAAACACAACAATATGACTTGCGTAAAATCGTCAAAGATATAGTTAAAGCAATTGATTCCAAACAACGTATTACCAAGGTGGCATGATTCAAGGAAGAAAAATAAAGATAAATTATAATAATTATTTATTTATTTATTTAATTTATTTATTTGAAGCAGTGACAGAACCAATCCTGATGGGCGTTTGGAAGGCGCTTCCACAGTTGGGGGGCTGTCCTTAAGGAGGCCCTGTCTCACTCGGATGAACTCTATACTAGATGCTGCAGAAAAATTACCTTTAATGAGTGTCACATCACCAGTTTACTGGAAGACACAGCCATACAAAGCCACTGCATGTCACATCCTGAACTTAGCAAGCCTATTATCTGCAGATGGCTTTTCTTATCGAGGGGATAACATGCTGAGCTGGTCCGAGAGGGAGTTTCTGCCACTCGGAATGCGACCAGGAGGTGGGTGTCTATTGTCTTCCATTCCTCCTGCCAGTTTCAACATTGCCTGTAAAAACTCTTTGGTTGCCCAGATCAATGATAGCCTTCTGCTGAGAGGGAAGGATCGGTTATCCAGAGGGCACCATGTCTCAACAGGGACCATGCCCATTTGAATTCAGGGAGCCTCCCCCCCCACATGTGGGCACATCTTTTACAATGCTGTGTCATGTCGGCCATCCTCCTAGACAATAAACTGGCCTGAGGCATCCCTGGCTTTCCGTCTCCGCCAGGACATAAAGAGGAGAAGCTCACTGAGGTTTTGGCTTGTTTATAACCTTCAGTTACTCCAAGTGCACTTTCTAGTCCTCCTGTGTCCCCCCCACCCCAAAATCCTCAATAATAATTCGTAGGAAGAGCTGTCAATTAGCTTTTCCTTGCAATCTCTAGAAGAGCCAACAGGGTGTGGTGCTTATTACCCTAGTAGCTCAACACAAAAGATCACGAATTTTTTTTTGAAACTAAGAACACTGAGTACACAAATACTAAAAAGTATCAAATGAATACTAAATGAAAAACCATAAGCAACACCAAAACATATTCAGAACAGTAAGGTACAAAAATCCATTAAAAAAGCTCTCCTCAGGCAATCAGCCATGAAGGCTGGCCTCCAGTGGGAGGGAGTTCCGGAGTCTAAAGGAGCAGCCACAGAGAAGGCTGTGTCACCTGTGTTTCCCCCACCAAGTGCACTTGTGAAAGTGGCAGGGCTGAGAGAAAGGTCTCTCCTGATAATCTTAACACCCGGGCAGGCTCATAAAGGGAGATGCGGTCCTGGAGGTATCTTGGACCCAAGCTGAGAAGGATTGTCAACAGTGGCGTAGTGGAGCCAGGGCTGGTGAAGTCAGTACCCTGGGACTTTTGGAAGAGCAGAGACTATGATGCCATCTGCCACCCCTCCCCTTACTTTGGCTTCCCTCTGTCCTTAGAGAACTGAATTTTGCACAAGAGCAATGTACGGTTGCAAACTATCCTTGCTGTGATGCAAAGCAATTGAAGGCAAGATTGAACTGGAAGAAGCCACTCAGAAGCTTCACAAAAGACCTGCTCCTCGGCAAAGCAATTGAAGGCAAGATTGAACTGGGAGAAGCCACTCAGAAGCCTTAGCTTCACAAAAGACCTGCTCCTCACTTGCTGATATGGACCAACCCAGCAAGCTGTATTTTTGGACCTGCTGTGTGAAGGGAGGGACTGTCATCCTGCTGAGGTGCACTTTGGATGCACATGGTCTATAGAAAGCCAAAGAAAACTTGTCTGTCATATTTGAGACACCAGAGGACTCATTGCTGGTAACGCATCCCATTCATAAATGTGTGGGTTCTCTTTTTTTCTGCTCCTCTGGTAGCTACAACCCATAAGACCTTTAAAGCACAATGCTGTATGCATTAACTCAGAATAAAGTCCCACTGAATCTAATAAGGCTTACTCCCTGGTTAAGTAACTACAAGCCCACAGCCTGTGAGGCTGTCCACAGAACTTTTTGCAAAACCCCACAGAACAGGAGGGGGAAGAGGCCATTTCAGCTGCCTTGCTTCAAACTCTTTATTTTAATGGGGACTAAAATATTCCACTTTTTTCTCCCAACAGCCCTCTTCCCCAGCCTTGCTTACCTGCATATCCTTCTCGTGGCTCTGCTTCTCCAGAATCAAGACTCGGTCTTGAAGTTCTTCCACGGTTCCCTGAAGGAGATTATTTTCCTCCATCATGGCAGTCAGGCGGCGTTCTAACTCCTGCTTCCGATCCGTAAGCATCTTAATCTGGAAAGGGAGGAAAGGTGGAGGGGAAGGCAAAGGGACGCCGGGAGAAGCCAAAAACTGTGATCTTTCCTTCCAAAAACAGAGAGAGAGAGAGAGAGAGAGATGCAGAAACAGAGAAGAAACTAGACTACACCTGTAGGAGAGACTGGCACAAATGGAAGGAAGCAAAGCATTCCTTCCCCCGAAAGCTTCAGGAACTTGCTCGAGGGTGGGAGGAATTTAAACTCTCCCGAGTTGGAATGTGTGTTGCCAAGCAAAGCCGAGGGAGGCAAACCAGACCACTGTATTCTCTGGAATTCCCAAGAGATTAAAAGCTCTCTCTCCCTCCCTCTCTCTCTCTCTCTCTCTGTTTCTACAAGAAAGACAGTTCTGCTCAATGGCCAGGACGGCAGAAAGATTCAGGAAAATATTGCCCCCCCCAAAAGGACTTTTTCCAAGCCCTGGGAGTGTCCGAAATGGATTTCTTTACTCCGGGTGCCTCTATCTCATGGGGTGGGGATTGGAAAAACAAGTCTTGCTAGGTCATCGTTTGAAGCCCCAGAGCTAACAATTTTGGACAGAGAATGATGGGTGGTTGTTTCAGACAACCACCTGTATTATTTCAGCCGCAAAACACACTCAAGTCCTCATTTTCCTTCCTCCACCCATCCTGCAACGATCATTCCAAGCACTACTACTATTATTACTTCAACATTCTTGATAGGTTAGAACGATGGTGCCTGGCCTTGGGTAACCCGGGTATTCTTGCACTGCGATTCCCAGAAGTCGTCACCATCAGTCGTGCTGGCCCCGGGTATCTGGAAGTTGCGGTCCAAGAATTCTTGGGTTTCCCAAGGTTGGGAAACACCGGTTAGAGCATCCTCAGCCCCACCCCAAAAGTTTGGCAACCCTGATTAAAGAGGAAAGTTTCCGAGCATGTGTAGAGTTTCATCTTGGTTCACCCGTCACTGCCGCGTCATGACGCAGGGAATAAAATTGCAACGGCCAGCTGTTCTCAAAACATTCACTTCAGAATAAGAGGCATAAAATATAAAAAGAGTGAAAAAATAAGATGTCTGCAAACATGCACATGCCTAGCTAGCTAGCCACCAATGATGGAATGTTATAATA